TTACTACAAATCTAACTGAACACACAATACCTATCTATGAAAATTTTAGTAGAGAAATGGTCTTGGGGAAATCTGGACAGATTTGGCTTCTTTCTTAAAGGCAAGACATAAGCAATTTTCTGGCCATCATCACATCCAACTATCACAATAGAATCACTCACCACCAGATCTCCAGGCTTCAACTTCTCAGCATCAACCAACCCAATAACAGGAAGGAAATATGTCTGTCAAAAGAAATCAGAGTGAGCAAAACCAGATTACCAGAAGATCCTTTGCATCATTCCTCACACTTGGTTGGGCACAAGTGTTGGGAAGGATAGATAAATATGATTGTCAATCAGAAGAACCACAATAGTACAGCCAGGATGAATATCATGCCCCCTACTGGCTGGACAATGCCCTTACCTACAGATGGGTCCAAAAGTCAAATGGACTGTTCCATCTCACCCCCCAGAATGTATGGTTCACCCCACACCTGTAACCCTCCCCTGAAACATCAAGTGTCTGTGACCCCATTGGCCCAAGTCTTGTTCCAGCCCACCTTGAAGCCCCCTGATAAGGGGTCTCCGAGGGGCCAGACGCCCTCTTGGAACTTCCTCCCTCCTCCTGGATCCCCCCCTCTTGGAGTCCCTGCTCCCCCCTTTGTCTCACGCCTCCCCCAGCACCTCAGGCCCGGCCACGTGCTGTGTCTAGCAGCTCGAGGCAGGACCTCTCTCCATCCCGAATAAACCTTATCTTCCAAGAGCAACCAGCAGAGATCTCTTGTCTGTACCCACCCAAAACGTCGTGGAGCGTCCCATGTCTTTACACACAAAGGTCTTACCTGACGTGTAGAGGTCTTGATCACAGCACATTTGCCCTTTCTCTGGGAATCCAAGTCAATGTTTGCTCCATCCTCCTCCTGGTCATTTGGGTCAACATCCAGCAGCTGAAAACCAGAGTGAAAGAGTTCATAACAATGTAACCAGGCTAGCAGAACGACCCCAGGATTAATGCTTCTAACATACATGCATTGGAAGAAATAAAACTTTCCATCATCCAGCAGCAGTAGAATCATGAAAGCATTAAAGCCCTGTAAAAATTGCTTTCTTCCTTTCCTTATGAAGCAACAGGCAACAGTGCAAAGAAAGACATTATAAAATTCAGAACAAAGTAGGAGCTAATGGCACTGATTCCTTCTCCCATACAGCAGCTTACATTAAAGCTTAAGCTCATTAAGTTTTAAAGCAGTAGTACAAAGCAATCCATTTTTAATAGCAAACTATTGACATTCTTTTTCCTATCATCAGAACTACTGAATTACAAAAATAATGTGATGGAGTAACAGAGCCATGGCCTTTCATTCACTGTTTCACAAATTTCAGAGAGTATATGTCCAGTTTCAGATGCTCAAGTTTATGCTCAGAAGGGCTATGCCACCCTCTGATGCTTGTTAAGTACAGATGAACAGTATCCAAAGCCTACAAGGAATGACCCAGAGAACAAGTGGGCAAGAGATGTGCACTTCCAGGTCACAAATAAAACCAACAGAAAAACCTGAAAGTCCTGGCTCTGGCAGCATTGGTAGTCTGAGAATACTCCAGGTCTTGAATCCCTGATTGAGATCCCTGCCTTTCTCCCTGCCATAATAAACTGCACACATTTCTTATATCACTACATAGAAGTTCCCCACCCTCACCTCAATAACATTGGAGACAAGGTATGGCAGGGTTTTGTTCACTTTGATCTTTTCACTGTTTTCTTTGATCTTGTCTTTCATGGCCTGAAGCTCGTGGGTCACTCTCAGTACCTCACTCTTCATGATCTGCAATTGGTACACAGAAGAAAGCAAAAGGAATCTTGTCAGAAAACTGAGACAAGATAAAATTAATAGATTGTTCCAAAAGCAAACAGTTACAGAAATCTAAGTCTGAGGAATAAAGGGAAATGTAATATAAAACAAAGAAAGAGCAAAGCCAGCAAATTAGCCAAAATTTGTTAGGAATCAAGGCTACACAGTCCGTTCTGATCTCTAACTAATCAATAACTCCAAATAATTTCTTCCCAGTGTCACTTGGTAGCCTCAGCCTAATCAGTGCAACAGCTTACAGGGTTGCAATTTAACCTAGGTAACAATATGGCTCAGATATGGCAACTGTGGTTTGGTTTGGATATGACCTTTTAATATATACAGATACACAAGTAGCTACATATACACAGCAATTTTAGTTATGTTTTGCAAGGTGGTTGGAACTAGATGATCTTTAAGGTCCTTTGCAACCCAAACCATTCTATGATTCAGCCTGAAGAAAAGAGGACTCCAGGAAGACCTCATGGTGGCCTTTCTGTATTTAAAGCTGTCTTGAAGATGGAGACAGACTTGTTAGTAAGACCTGTTGCAATAGGACAAGAGGTATGGGTTTTAAACTTCAAAAGGGTAAATTTACACTAGATATAAGAAAGGTAAGCAAAGGATTGCTATCCTTTACAGTAAGGATAGCAAAACACTGCAACAGGCTGCCCAGAAACATGGTGGATGCTCCATCCCTGGAAACATTCAAGACCAGCTTGGACAGGGCTCTGAGCAACCTGGTCTAGTTAAAGACATCCCTACTTATGGCAGGAGTTGGCCTTTAAAGGTCCCTTCCAACCCAAACTATTCTATGATCATACTAACTGTAAAGAAAAAAAAAAATCCAAGGAAAAAAAGGTTCTGTACTCCCCATCCAACAGGGGATTTACACCCACCACAGATGTCTGCAGTGCTGGCTGGCTGGCACTGACAGGCCTTTTCCTGCCTTTCCTGGTTAGTCACACAGTGTGCAAATACACACTTTGTGATTCCCACTGAAGTGACTGGAGCACCAAGAGATCCAGGAGACCTGGTCACACCTGAACTGGGTGTGTGATTCAGTTCAATTGGGAAATCCACTCTTCACTAAATTATCTTTTTAAAAGTCTTGATATGCCTAAGCATAAGACTGTGTGTAACACATCCACAGGAACCAATACAGAATCTGTTAAATAAAAACTTAATAAATTTAATAAAACAGCCTAGAAAACATTCACGGAAAACTACCTGAAGGGAGGGTTCTGACATTTTGCTATCATAATGCTCATACTATAAAATGAAGAAGACTACTTCTACTCCTCACTGTATTCTGTATTTAAAAGTAAGGCATGTATTTACCTTTACTGTCTTTAAAGAATAATCAAATACATTAGTAAGTCAGAAGTATGGAGCCTGAACCAGTATAGGATAAAGTTACTCTGTAGAATTTATGAAATATTTTATCTCAATACTGCTAACACTGGGCAGCAAGCATTCTAAATTTGTAAGTGCTCTTTTATGCAAAACATGTCTGCCTGTTTAACATCTTCATGAATGAACAAGCAAGAGGATGGAATGTTTTCTCATCGTGTTTGCAGATGACACCAAACGGGGGGGCACAGTCTCCGCGTTCAAAGGCAGGGCTGCCAAACAGAAACCTTACTAAAAACGAGGACACATGTAAAATCCCGCAGCAGGGAGGGAAGTGCACCTTGCAGTGACACATGTTGGTGACTGTCTGGCTGAGGAATGGACCTGGGGGTCTCCATAAGACAATAAAATGAACAGGAGCCAGCAGTATGTCCTGACAGCAAGGGTGGCAAACAGCATCCTGGGCTGTACTATCAGGACTGCAGGCAGTAGATGGAGAGAAGTGTTCAGTCACCTTTATTAAATACTTTTAGATCCTACCTAGAGCACTCAGTACAGTTTTGGTGTAACCCCCCCTGCCCTTACAGCAAAGACATGGATAAACTGAACTGAGTTCAGCATAGGGCCACCAAGATGGCTGGGGGCTGGAGCACAGGCCCTCCTGAGGGAGGTGGGTTTGTTCATCTAGAGAAAAGAACAGCTGGGGAAGGAGGTATCAAAGAGACTGAACCAGACACTTCACAGGAGTACACAATGGGCAGATGAAATAACAGACTGAAACAGGTGCAGCTCAGACTGTGGCAAAGCAAATCTTCATCCTCACAAGCTCTGTCAAGCAGCAGCACTGAACACCCTGCAAAGCGGTGCAGTACGTGTCTTTAAAGGCTTTCAAGATCCAACCAGATAAAGCCCTGAGTAGCTTTATCAGGGTTATAGCTGCCCCTGCTTTGAGAAGGAGTTTGGCCTGGAGGTCTGCTCAAATCCCTTCCAACCTGAATTATCCAAAGATCCTCCCTGACTCAGGCCACAGAACAGACTTCCCCCTCCCCTCTGCCTCCGAGGCAGGGAGGGCCTGTGTAACTTCAGCTAAAGCATCCATGGCTGCGTCGAACAGCCGCCCCCTCAGCTCCCTCGCGTCGATGCTCTTCCAGTGATTCTTTCCTACCTTCGTGGTTCAGTACTCCTCAATCTGCTCTCCTCGATTCAATTAACCGTGATTAATATTTTGCCGTCCCCGTGGCTGTGCTAACCCGCCCGCCCCGAACAGCAGCAGCACAGAGCTCCCGGGAGGGCGGCCCGGCCCCGCTCCCCGGCCCGGCGCGGCCCCCGCCGCTACCTTGATCTCGCTGTCGAGGAGGCGGGTGCGCTGCACGATCTCCTCCGTGGACATCTTCAGCACCTCCTCGCCGACGCCGTCCTGCGGGGGCACAACGGCAGCGTTACCTTCAGCCCGGCCCGCGGCTCGCCCCGGCCCCGCCGCCCCCGGCCCCGGTCCCTCACCTCCGACTCATCCCACACCGACGCCATCTTTCCGCCGGCCCGCGGGCGCGCAGGGCGCGGCGGGTTCGGGGCGGCAGATTCGGCACGGCGGCTGCCCGGCGGCGCGGGGCGGGGGCAGCGCCACGGGCGGGCCGTGCGGCCCGGGGGTTCCGCGCAGCCTGCCCTGCCCCGGCGCTGCCGCCGCCGCCGCCGCGATCGCGGCCCCCGCTGCCCGCGGCCGTGCCGAATCTGCCGGCGCGGCGGGGAGCGGCCGGCGGGTCACGTGCCGCCCCAAACCTGCTGAGTGATGGCGGCGGCTGCGCCATCGCGGGGCGGGGCGGGGCGAGCGGAGCCCGGAGCGCTGGAGGCAGACGGGGCGGTCTCCCGGAGAAAGCCTTTATTACAGCAGTGCCCGTACACAGCAGCCAGGGGGAAGGGAGCGGGGCTGCGGGTCCCGCGCAGGGGAGGCCGAGGACGCCCCCGCCGGGCACAGCCCGAGGGGGCCCGGGAGCGGCTCCGTCAGCCCCTGGCCGAGCCCGGGGCGCTCAGACGTAGCCGGGCTTCACCGACAAGCGGCGGCAGTTGGGGCAGCCGCGGGTCCCGTTGGTCTGCAGGCACCTGCAACGGGAGGAGGTCGGGTCGGTGAGGGCTCTCCACGGCTGTTGTTCGCCACAGAGCTGCTCCCCGTGGGCCCTCCCGCCACGGGCAGAGACTGCATCCCTCTCCCTTCCCTTCCAGGGAGGCAGTTCGGCAAATTCCTGTACGAGAGTTGGTTCCTGCACTGCTGGAGACAAGTCCACAGAGCTCGTCGGGCATGTCTCACTGCCCAGTAGTTTGATGCTAATTCTGGTGTCAGTGTGAGGCTTTGTTACTAAATTCTTAGTTTTCAGATTAGTTTTCAGAGTGTTTTGTAATACTCGTATTTCTTCTACAGTAAAGTGATGGTGCAGCTAACTTCTTTCATGCCAGTAACATGATAACAGTATGGACAACTTCAGCTCTGTGTACCACTAGCCAAGGGAGAAAGTGAGGGGGCTCGGGAAAAACCCAAACTGACCCTGGGAGTGAAGAACTGATTCCCCAGGAGGAATCAAATAAGAATCTGTGAACTGGGTTGATCACCTACAAAGTGAGGACATCAGTGAATAATTATTTAGAGGACAAGTGGGAGTGTGATGGATATGATGGCTAAATCTCACCCTTCAAGGCTGTGAGACTCTTAGCACCGCAATGGGATCCTGCAAGGCAGGATCAAGACACAGGCAAGCAGGTAATCAAGACAAAGACCTGGGGAACAGCATGCATAGGACTATGGGCATAAGCAGCTCTTTCCTGTGACTGTCATCACAATAATTTTAGTACTTCCAGCTAATTACTTCAAGTGGAAGAAGTGGGAGCAAGGTAGTGCCTGGAGCTGGTTGTTCTTCTCCCCAATGGACTCTCCACACATGCCACAGTACAGCTCCATCTCCTCCACACATTCATGGAACTTCACTACATGGTCACGCAATTCTTGCTGCTGCTCCTTTGTGCGATAGATCCTTTCACACAGGCAGTGGAGCTTCAGCAGGCCGAGCTGCACGTGAAGGACAGAAACATAAGACAAGTGAATGATAGGGCAAACACAGACCAGAAACAGGAGTGGGAATGCCACAGCCCCATCAACCAGCTGGAGCAACATCAGCAGGCTCAACAATTCCTGTCATTAACTCTTCTTCTTTGTGTCACAAAAGGTACCACCAGGTTTGAGACACTCAGCAGCTCTTCCACTCATGGTTTCCCTGAGCTACCTCTGACACGCAGTGTATTTCCTTTGCCTCCAGCCAGCATACAGTTCAGCAGCAAAAATGTTTTTCAGGAAGAGACCTCTAGTCCTCTAGTTCTCTGCCTATTTCACACCCTATTTTCACTGCTTCCCATTCTCCTTTGCCTATCCCATTGTGATTCCTCCCTCACTTTTCAGACTTGCAAATTGATGATTATCTGTGCAACTGCCCACAACCAAACACTTCCTGACAAAGCAGATCCCAAACACTCACTGGTTAATAGGAATGCTAATGAGCAACAACAAGCCTGGATAATTCAATCTTTCACATCTTATATTGCCTGACACAAGACTATGAAGAGTACTGAAAAGAAGCTGTAGGATCCTACCTTGTTGCCTAGTCCCTCTGCCAGCTCCTGTGCCTTTTCAATGCTCTCCAGAGCCTGTGAATTGAGAGCAGTGGTTGTTAGTTCTCAGCCAAATATATGAAAAACAGTCTTGTATGAATGTCCTATGAGAATTATTAAAAAAAAAAAAGAGGTAAAGAAGTACAGAGTAAAATTTGGATTAACAAGTATCCCTGCAACACTGGAGAATCAAAAAAGCTTTTTTGGGAGGGCAGATTTCCCTCCCCTCCCAAAAATCAATCCATGAGAAAAGGTTGGTTTCTGAAAAACCACAAGTAATGCAAGAGCTACATTTCTGTTGCAGACACTCAGTGTCAGTGTTGGCAGAGGCTGGTCCCCAAGCAGAGAGAATAGAGACTTATTTATATTCGGTCCCACATGCTCATTTGGGGCTGGGATGGAGCACTAGCAGAGCAAGCCTTGTCCCCATCCTACCTTGCAGGCTCAATAATTGTTGGGCAACTTTAATTTCACTTGTACCAGAGGTGAGGAAAGGGATCACCAGCACCAATACACCACACTCATGTTTTTTCCCTGCTATTCATATATCCACCTAGCCTTACTTACACATGGTGTGATGTAGGAGTGTTCTACTATCCATTTTTAAAATCTGAAGGAAATATTTAGCATAGCAGCTGTCATTCCAAATGGCTCCCTACTTTCACCTACATGTCACAGTGTTCCTTGCTGTTCTGATAATTAGTCTCTTTTCCAGAGCTATTGAGATCTGCTTCCTGTTTGTCCAAGGGGAAGAAGATGTCTCCCTTGTGATGCAGTAGTTTTCAGGAGAAACATTATAAAATTTCTACCCTATAATTTGGCATTACTGCTATTGTAGGAGGAAAGGACCAGATGAGATGCAAAAATGTGCTGTGAATGCAGAGGAGATGGCATTAGACTTGTGGTGGCAGCAACAGCCTAGGATAAGGAAATGGTAGGAGAGGGAAGCAGGAACTAAAGGCCAGCAGGGAGAACATAACTGGGAACTGTGCTTAGGAAGACTGAGTGTGTACTGGAAACTCCTGAAATTAATGACTGTGAGCAAGAATCAAAATGAAATGTGTGGGGTAGGGGAAAAGATCATGTTGACAAATCTAGGGGACAGTTTGTCTTGGACAGGAATATAAGACTGCACAAAAATGAAAAATGAGGGCAAGCAAGCTGTAAGCAGCCTGTGAGGATTTGGAATAGCATTGATTACCTTACATGCAAATGAAATGGACTGACTGGCCAAAGAGACCGGGAAGATGGAGGAAACTTGAGCAAAAATAGAGAATCTGCAAGTGGAAATTTAGCAAATTTCTTTACTAAGTAGCTGATATAGGGATGAGTCGCATGAGAAATGGAAACTGGGCCTGGCAAGTTGAAGAACAGGCTTGGGTGAATATTCAGGGATTTGACATCTAAGGAGGTCACATTTGGTCAACACACATAAGGTTCCTGACCCAGCAGGGCAGACTTCCTTCTAATGCCTGGAACAGAATACAAGATTCTTCCACTTTCTTCTTCTGTGGGATTTGGTGAGATTGGAATTCTGTGCAAAGCCTTCATCATGTTCTCACAGTGAGAGCTGCTTGATATCACAGTGGCTCAACATAGAATCAGTGAATGGAAGAGTTTGATGAGTGCTCTGAATATTCTCTCCTGCAGAGGACTAGCTGCTGTGTCCTGTCCCATTCTTTTGATACTGAGCTAACTTTCCATAGTTTCTTCTCCCATTGCTAACACTCTGTTTACTTACTGTGATTGAACAGTGTGTCTCACCCAGCTGATTCCCTGATGGAGGCACTCAGATTCTGACAGCAGCCTGAACTTGTCTATTCTGACATATACTGGACATACTGATATCTGAGATGCTTCATTTGTCCTAAAATTCTTGGTGTCTCAATATGAGTGATAAGAGTGAATTTTCATCATACTTAGACCCAACCAGCATCTTGATGTGGCACTGTGCAGTTGTTCAGAGCTAGTTCAGGGCTAACATTTGAGCATTTAATTCTGTGGGTGAGTAATGTTCCTGCTGTGCAATGTGCTGCATCTAGTGGAGTCTGGACTTTAACACACATACACACTGCCTAAGCATTTTCAAAATAAGTAACTTCACCCACTTGTTCTATATTGACTCCTTGTCTATCCCCAAATAAATTCTCGCTCTCATTCCCCTGTTTCACATCAGAGTTTACAGACCATCAAAGTTTCTCCAGGAATTTTATGCCACATTTGCCTGCAAAGCACATGGTGGAGCTGTAGAGCTCTCTAAATATCATTAGCACATCAGTGAGCTTAGTCATATAACCAAAAAGTGAGCAGGGGAATCTATTTCAGACCATAAGGCTTCCTTCCTCCAGTGCTGGTTTCTCAGCATAGAGCTTAAAAGTCATCAGGAGTGACTAATGAAGCAATTCTGTAACTTAGCAGCCTGACTCAGAATGGATGTTCCTACAATTAGTTTCAAATCCATGGCTGAGAGAGACCATTCAGAGAAATATAACTCTACAAGCAACGGACCCTGTTGGTAGAACCAAGGGGGTACAGGTCTCTTCTGAACTGTACCCTCACCACCGTGCAGTACACGACTGTACTCTAATCTTGTCCTACAAACCTGTGTAGAAACAAGCTTGCAACTGACCTTGTCCAGCTCCTTTTGAATCATCCAGCACTTAGTCACTCCTAGCAGCACCTGGATCAGGCCCAGGCGGTTTCCAATCTCTGTCATGATGCTCATGGAAGAATCATACCGAGGGAAGGCTGTCTGCAGAAGCAGGGAGGAGAACACATGTTTTGCTATGAACTGCTTTTAATGCCCTCTTGCTATTCCCCCTATCCTTCCTGGCAGGAAGGGACTGTACCTGCACGTCCCTGCGACTGCGATGGATATCTGCAAAGCAGAGCAGACACAGTGCTTGCAGCGGCCGGTCACCATGCTGCAGGGCAATCTTCATGGACTCCTGAAAGAAATAGCCTCTGGTCAGTAGAACAGCTTGTTCCTGGTTCAAAACAGCAAGGCTGGGACTTTGCACTCCAGCCACTGAAACCTCAGCTCCAAAGAAGTGGCATCACCTTTTAAGGCAAGGAAAATATTTTTCACATGTTCCTAACCAAGGGCCATTCATAGACCCAAATTTTGAAGCCCCCTGGGCTACAGAAACCACAGCTCTAAGACTGGAAGGCAGCAGGAAGATCTACAGTCAGGTGTGAATGGCAGGGTATCTCTCTTGCCCTAGTGCCGTGGCAGGATCCCTGGCAGACCCCCCAGCTCTGCCCATGCCCCGTACCTCACAGCAATCCATGGCGTCTGCCAGGCGCCCCAGCTTCCGATAGGCCACGGCCATGTGGTACTGGCTCATGGCACGGTACTTCAGGCTCCAGCCCTTCCCGTAGTCATTCACCAGTTCAGCAGCTTTACATGGGAAAAACAAGGCTTTCTCATAGTCCTGTAAAGCACACAAGCACACAGACAGCAGTCACAGCAAAAATAAATTAAAAAGGAGAGAAGGAAAAAGACCAGCTATTTTTTAATTTACTAACTCTGCAACAGCTGTACATCTTTAAACTCATGCTGCTCCTCTTCCACATGCAGTATTTTGGTGGGTATCAAATTGTGAAAGATGGAATTGCCATATACTGAATTCTTCTTATTCTCTGGGTTCAGGACACTGGGACAATGACCCAGCAAAGGAATTTGATGTAGTGTGCCATTAACTTTATTCTGCAGGAGCCATTTACCCTCCTCTGTAAGCAAAGGCTGAAAACTTTCTCTGCTCTTACATCATCTCTACTTGTAACATCTACATGGAGCCTTCATTTTCTCTAAATGGTGAGTTTGGTCTCCAAGAAACTCATTATCCATCATTGCAGGGAAGAGGAACCAAGACTCCTGGCCTCATCAAATTCACAATAAGTAATAATACATTTTAAACATCTTCTTTTTGCATTAAAAGCATGTCAGAAATAAATATTATTTTACAATAATTATGTAAAAGTTATATTAGTATCTAAAACCATTCTCAAGTAAGTTATATGAGACTGCAGAAGTGAAAAAGTCCTCATATTTTTTTAATTCTCCACAATGCACAAAGGAAACCACAGCTTCTCAAATTTTCTTTCTCCCTTCTTATTTCACACCTGAAAAGTATTCAGCACAATGTTACTTTCTTTATTTTTGGTAACCACACTTCACATGATGAGTCTTCTATGAGTGAAGAAATCAAGACTTTGTGAGAAAAACCTATTTTTTGCTGTTTATACCAGAAGTTAGAACTGGCAAATCATCCCTGTGCTCAGTCCCTGCCTGGTTTTACCTACAGCTGCTTGCTGGCAGCTATTTGCCTACAATAGTGGTAGAAATAGAGAATCCTTGAGTTTTGGCTGCCAGCCCTGTGTCTCTGATGTGATCTTCTTTGAAGCTAAGTTTGATCTTTTCAACACACATATTCACAGCTGCTTCTGCTGTGCTGTGTAAACATGACACTAATCCTCCATTTGGATTTTACAAAGGGATTTTAGCTTACAATGCTCTCTTGGTACTTCACTTCCTACAGGAACGACAAAGGCTGAAATTCATGTGATTTCCAATGCTTCCCTGAATCTGTGGGGCAATCACTCCTCTCCCTCAGGTTACTGTACCTTTATCTGGGTGTAGAAGTTCCCGAGGCTGCAGCAGACTCGACACTCCAGCATCTTGTCATCGTTGTTGTGCGCATAGCGTAAAGCTTTCTCAAAGCACTCCAAAGCCTTCTGGAAAATGCTGAGGCCCAAGAAGGCATTGCCCATGCTGAGGCTCACCTGGCCATTCAGCTGCATGCTCACAGTGGTACCCTGCATGTTCAGACATGTTTTACAGTAAGAGATTGTCTTCTGGAATTCACAGAGTTTCTCATTGCTGCGAGCCAGGTTTAGGTAGCTCTCTGTAAGGAAATCTGGGTCTTCCAGCTCCCGTGCTGTGTCAATCTGGACCACTGCAAACTTTAAGCAGAGAAGATAGTTTATTTAAATACAGCTCAAGCACCCACAGAGTAGCACCCTGTACTGGAGAAGAGGATTGTGTGAGCAGGGCAGACAAGGCCATCAACACATGGAGAAGCATTGTATGCACTGAGCAGTTGTCTGGTGGTTTAAAAGGCCTATGAAGACTCAGAAGAAACCTCTCCCTCCCTTCACACAGACTCTGGGCAGGGAAGATGAACTAGGCTGGCAGTAAGGGGAAAATAGCTGTTAAATGGCCCTAAAGAGAAGCTGGTGATGTTTCAGACGAAACATCTGAAAAAATGCAGTTCTGTTTTCTTTCACTCTGTGTAATGTATCCCACTTTCTCTGGAATTCCTAAACTATTAAAATACTCTGTTAATTGAAGAAAGTAAGCTACTTCTTTAATGAATTTTCTACTAACAAATTTTCTACTAACAAAGTCTCGATCTTGACAATTTTAGTTCTATAACCTCCAGGATTTGTTGAATACTGCTGTCTTAAATGAAGTCTTTCAGGTGGCAAACTTTTATAAGCAGTAACTCTTATATTTTGTGATGAAGCAAGCACACTGCTGGCTTGATTTAGTATTGGTAGCAAAGGTAAATAGTTAGCAGTTTTCATTAGACATTATCAGTTAGGATTATGGATGGCAAATTCCAAAGGAATCAATTACTTCCTTTTTATGTTGTGGCTACACATAATCATTTAGGCTACTAGAACATTTTACATTCTTTGGAAACAACAAAAAAACCCAAACCAAATTAAAAAAACAGACACACAAAACCCCCCAAAAAACAAGAAAAGAAAGCAAAACCACACACACAAAAAAAACCCAAAACCCAAACAAAACTCCCAAACATCACCAACCATAAATTGTGTATGTTGGGTTTGTATTTATCTTCTCGGTTTCTATTACAATTTAGGAAAGCTCCTATGTGGACTCAGTGATGCACACTAGCTCATGCTTCCCCACATTCCCTTAACTGTGCACAAGTTCTTCAGCATTTCTGGATTGCCACAGCCTTTTCTCTTGTGCGAAGTAATTTTTCCTCTCTAAAAGAGGTTGAGCATCACAACTCTTCTTAAATCACTTTTTATTTCATGCCTTAAATTATGACCCTTTTTGTCCTGATATTTCCTCTCTCAATGGCTTATTGCTACAGTTCTCCTTTCTCTATCCTTTGACCAATTGCTGTGTAAATTCTTCAGTTTGACTGAGGCCATTTTTCCTTCCTAATACTGCGAGGAACTAAAATTCACCAACTCTGATGCCACTTGCTGTTCTCTTCTCAGGTAAGGAATTATGTTTGGATATACTAAGCTCCCTCCTTTGTTTTTTTTTTTTTTTTTTTTTTTTTTTTTTTTTTTTTTTCCCTCCATGAAGTATTTAGTATTTCCTTCAGGTAGCTACATCTTGCCCTTTTTTCTTCTTTCTTCCCCAGTCAGTCTGTTGTTTTTGCCAGCACCTAATTTCACACCACTTAACAGAATTGTTTGTCTGGAAATGTTTTCCTAGTATATTAATACCTCTCCTTTCTTCTTCATCCTAAGTATTTGGTTTCAATATAGGGCTTTGACATGTGCACAGCTTTATCAGGAAGGTGTGCCTCTCTTCCCACTCCAATTCCAAACAGAGCTACCAAAAACTTTTCAATGAGATGTAGTCACCACTTTTACATTTTGTTCTAAATGCTTCTAATAGCCAGTCTAGTAAGAGGCAACCCAAAACATCGGGACATAACAAAGCCCTTCAGTAAGACCCTATTTCAGGCTGGGATAGTTTCTTAAGACTATTACAACACTCTCTTGCTTTATCTTACAGATTCTTGAGTTGCCCTCTCAAATGCTGCCTGCTGCTCTCTGTACACATGCTCTTTCTTCTCAGATCCACAAACCAGCTTCTTTTTGTTCATTTAAACTGTTTATCCTCATGTGCTTGAAGTATAACTTCAGCTGCTTGTTACCACTCTTCCGTCAAGCCCAATATCCTTCCTTCTTCCTTCTGTACTGTCCTGACAACTGGAAGCTGCTCTCTGACCTCAACTGTGAGACATCTGGGATGTCTCAATTACCTCACCAAAACAGCATCTTCTTTTCCCTCTTAATCAGCCCCTGGCAAACAAATAATTGCAATTAGAAAACCCCCATATAAGATCTATAGTAGATATCAGCCAGAAGCTGAACAAGACTTGTCTCCACAAGATTGATACTTATTCTACAGAATCCACTTGGAGTTCTCTTTTTATACTGACATACACACTGTAAACAGCTTGTAGTTGGACAAAGGCTCTGTTCTCATACCTGCTCTTGAAGCTTGATAACATGGTGTGCCTGTATGTGGGAAATAATCAAGACAGCTTCCCATGAATAACTGGAGAACTTAATTAATCAAGGAATCCTGATGAACCAGACCTGGTGAAAAATCATGTTCGGTGTTGTGGGCTGGAGCTCTTGGTGAGCACAGTGATTACAGCAGCCCAGAACATGCACTCAATAGCTGCTATTTTCTGTTACACACAAAACACCCAAGACTTCAGATTCTGATCTCCAGCCACATTCCATCTTGGGTGCGACACAATGGCATGCATTCATCTCCAGTTCACCTTACCTTCAGCATGTCTTTGTATCTGCCCATCTCTGCATGAGCAGTGATGAGGCAACCCAAAACCCGAAACCTGCCAGCAGGATCCGCAGACTTCTCCAAAACCCTCATCCAGACTCGCAGGGCCTTTTCAGTCTGGTTAGACTGGTAAAGATGGAGTCCTTTCTCTATCTGTTGCTTTGTCTGGTCCTGGCCCATCTCCCATGGATTAAAAAGCCTCATGCACTAACCTCTAAGGATAGCAAAAAGGACGTGCTTACAAGAGAACACAACGTAAAATGCCCCACTAGAAGAGGGCGGGTTGTGTGCTCAGAGGGCCCAGAGCCGTAAGAGCCCAGCCATGTCAGGGGGCTGGAGCTGTGGTAGGCAATGGCAAGAAGTGGTTGCTCAGCACTGAAGGCAGAATCCCAAATCCACTAGGCAAACATCTTGCTTGCTAGGGCTCCATCAGTGCATTTGTCGGTCCAATCCCGTAAACAAAGAGGAAAAGCAAGACAGGGAGAGAAAGAGAAAAATCTCAAGCCACAGGAGTGAAACTCAATCTGAACAGCAGTGCTGGTCTCCTCCCCATTGGCTGCAGCTGCTCCTGCCACTCCAGCTCACGTGGCTCCCAGGAATTCTAGTCAGGCTCCCCAGCGCCCAAGGTCATGGTGCCAACTGCCCACCCCTGCCCGCCAGTATGCAGCTTATAAATACCCCAGGGAGAGACAATTGGCTGCAGTCACAGCCTCGGGTTGCCTCTACTGTCTCTTTCCTCTCTGGCCATCCCCTTAGATAAGCACTGCTGGTGGTGGGCTAGCTTGGGAGGAAGCAGACTCAGGTGGAATAGTAGCTTTAGGAAAAATATATTTATTAAAAGTCAGGTGTGAGCCAGGTAACTTCAGTGTGTACACACCCACACTGTTACTCTTGCAACAATGTACTTGATATTTTGTTAGGCGCGAAATCAGCCTCCCTTTTGAAGACCACATTTGGCATCATGGACTGTTTTTATGGACATAGGTCATCTCTGTCACAGATTTGCTGCAAATACACCTCTGACTTCCTAAGTTTAGGGACAAGGAGCTAACCATCCTGAAAACCTTTGTTTTTGACTGAATGTTGGTCCCTGTGATGAGTGTGGTAGTCCTCCAAATGTTGTCAAAGGCACTCCTTAAGTTCTGCATCCAGAACTTGATGATCTTTTATGATGAATAACAATAAAGACACAGAACACAGGTATCTGCACTTTTTGGTTGCAGGAGAAATGTTAACCCCATTAAAAGATAGCTTTATGTCTCCCACACTCTGTTAAAAAAATCAGACTGGTTCCTCCAGGAGTCACATTTAATACTCTCACCAATGTGCTGCAGCCTTGGTGGTCTAGAGAATTATTCAGTCCTTAAGAAGATTCACCAAACCTGGGAGGAGAGTGGCAGATGGAGAATGCTACAGGGATATAGAATGTTTTTCAGATGCAGAAGTTCCAGGAACCAGTTTTGTGATCCTTTTACTGGGCAAAGAGAAGCAATTTGAGGTTTTAACAGACCTGCCTGCAAAACCAGCCATGCCTCCAGCTGCCTCCCTGCTTCTTGGTAAATTTGGTAGCAGTTCTTCCCCAAGCAAAGGTAAATACCTACAGAATCACCTCCAAGGGTACTAATCAAGCTATCCTGGTCTGTCAACAAAAACCCAAGGGAGCCTTCCTGAGGTAATATCCTTAAGGAAAGCAGACACAAAATAAGGAACAATAGCCTACCCAGAGGCTTTACATCACAGCAGTCATGATCTTAAGGGATTATATCTGTCTTTTATTCAAAATTCCCCCAGAAAAGTATTTCAAAAAGAAAAGCATTATAAATTGTAGAAGGGTTTTGCTACAGTAAGACTGATTCACTTTTGGGAGCTCATATACACTACAATACTTGCATTATTTAACTTAGCTTTGTTTTTCAGAGATGTAATGTGTTAGGTGATATTTCAGCATAGACTCTATGTAGTCTCAAACTCTGGAAGTAGACATTATGAAAAAATCTACAGAAGCTGAAGAAATCTAATGGTGAGGCACTGCTGGTTAATGTGCGAAAATCCCTTCAGCAGCACTGTTAAAATTATAAGCTAGGTACTTTATAGATTTGAGGACTTGCATAAAAGTCAGATTCAGAATATTAAAAAATATCTCCTCCTTGCAGTAATTATTTTATGTCTCTCTAGACATAAGTGGTGGGATGGAAACAAGATGCAGAAGATCAGTCCCCATGGAAAGCATTGACAATGGTGAGGCCATTCAAATTTCTAGACTTGGAGAAGTTAAGAGGCCAGGAAAGCAGCCACTAGGAGCCTGCTCTGTAACAGAATCAAGCCAGGACTCAGGAATGGGGAAAACAAAAGTTTTATCATTCTTGGTAGATCAGACTACTTTGCAAAATTAACCTTCCACAAGTGAGCTGCCTGTAACTCAAACTCATCCTGAGATTCTTTTGGACCATGTCAGCAAAGCACTGCTCCCTTCCCCACACAGCATAGCCAAAATGAAGAGGGTGCCTTGCAGCCTGACAAAACCCATCTAACAGGAGACGATCTGCCCTGCATTTTGTTAACCTCACTTTAGCTCCTTGCTTTTGAGCACTGTGAAACAGTACTTAGTTTCTTAGGAATCAATTTGTAACTCACCTGTTGAGATAAAAACACCGTAGTAAAATAAGGGCTAAATCCATCAAGTTCAAACTGATCATTTTCAAAAAACCAGGAACATGCTCTCATATGGAACAGATCACTCTGAGCCCAGCTGCAGCTGTCTAAATAAGGAGGGACAAAAGATGAACACTGCCTGCCTGTGCTACTTCAAAAAAAGCAATGGCATCTGTCTGTGGCTCAAGATAGCTATAATTCATTCAATATTCAGGTACAGCTTCTAAAGTTAATCCACAGTTTCTCCTCAGGAAGTGCAAATAAATGAGCCTGAATGGTGTTTGGCGACATCAAATTAGGGAATCTTACCTGTCATCCATGCAGTGAGGCTCATCACGCACTCACTTCTGCAGAGTGACCACACTGACCTGCTTCTCCTCCTCCCCCCCATGCTCTTCATAATGTCCCTGGTGAGTCCTGGCTGCATGAAGAGAGCAGAATGTGGCAGGTAAAGTCAGGAAGACTGGAGTCAAGACAAATAGTGAAAGGTGGAGGTGGATGTGAGAGGAAAAAGGTTTCTCCTAGAACATCCAGCATCAGGATTTCATCTATAACTTTGTGTATTTCCTACAAATGCTGATAAATGTAACAATTAATGTGAAAATGCTGATTATTTTCAGAGATTAATACACAGACTCTTAGGTGTAGTTTGATTGCATGCTGATTGGTGGTGGCCTTTTGAATTGAAGAAAAAACCTTCAAAAAATTAAAAAAACCCACTGACCCAAAAGGGATCTGGTGTCAGTTCTGTCAGATGTAGCTGGCAAAGCTTTGATTTTGTAAGACAGGGTGAGTGAACTTTCTGCACAAGCTGGAATCTTCCATTCTGCCTCAACAAACCCTATTTCTGATTCATATGTTTCTCTCCATCCTTGGCCTCAAGTTGTATCTAAACTGAAATCCTCCAGCCTCTCTTCTCAACAGCTGCAAATTAACTGCAGGGATCCCAGCACAGTCTGTAACAGGTGGCTCTGTGCCTCGTGCTGCAATTGGTGCGCTCAGGGCAAAGAATGCAGCACTGAATCCTGATGCTTTGCAAGTGCTCTCGGATTTACAATCATGTAGGAAGTGATGGGGTGAAACAGAGTATGCCAGATAACACAGGAAAAGGACACGGAGGAGAAACATAGCTGTCCTAAAAATGCTTGCAAGTCTCCAAGATGCAAGATAGCAGAGGAAAGGAATAACATCAGGGAATTTTAGGAGCTTTCAGAAATGCAGCAAAATCATGGCCATTGTGGTACCCTTCTGAGAGAGAAGGAATATTCGTGTCAAACTTGTGGCAGGTTCCTAAATGAATTATGCTTTGGCTATGCCAAATACTTTTTATTGATTTGAAATAAGATATCATAAAAGATATCTTAGTTGTACAAGCAAAGCAGGTAGCCTTTGCTTATCACTAGTAAGTAATCCAAATCCATTTGCAGTTTCCCTCTGTACTATTTCCAGGATCAGGAGCACTGAGGGCTGCAGGTACTTTGATGTTGCAGAACCAGGATAGATTCAGCCAGCTTGGCTGTGTTCCTGTAAGGGGAAGGAGGCAGTGGCAAGTGTGCAGCTTGTGAGTGGCATAAGCTGGTGCCCCTCTAACCCAACACAGCACCACACACTGGTGCTGCTCCTGCAGAGCTGAGGGCTGCTGCTCTGCCCAAGCTATTGAGCCCTTGAAACACCCTGAAGCACAAGTGCATGGACAAGCAAGTGGCTGCACAGCACCAGTTCTGTGAGGCTGGATATGCCTACTCCTCACTCCCAAGTGTTGCAATTATCTGCATTATCCAAGATCCTCAGCTTTTCCGTGTCTGAAGGGGACTTAACTGTCAAACGATCCAAAATAGATGTATATCAACCAGAAAACCTTTTCCATTTCCACTCAAAGTAGCTCAGAAGTAAAAGTACAGTACTTTTACACAGAAGTAAAAGTCCAGGGTGATATTGTGATATTGGAACAAGTGGTATTGGGCCATGAATATTTTTGTGTCTCACAGCTAAGAAGCTGTAAAATAGTTCTCTCACATCTCTCGTCATCTTCTCACCCTTGGACCCGAAAAAGAACCTCAAGTTTAAGACACAAATATAACACACAAGGACTCTTCTCAAACAGTTTAATAGCAAATAAACAAAGGAAGGTACCACACTTGGCATATACAAAATGACTTGTTGTCGGTGTGTCTGTGCAATTAAAACAGCTTTAAGTTGCCCTTTGGGACAAAAAGAAAAAAAAAAACCACACACACAAAAGGAAGAAAATTCCTTTAACACATACTCGCTTGTTCCAAACTTGTAACAAATCTCTTCATTTTTAAATCCACTACATGAACTCTGTGATCAGATCAGAAAAGCAACATGCGCTCCTCTGCTTTTTAAACCATTAAAGTAAAATCTGTAATTCTCTACAGAGTACAACACAATTTCACACAAAAAGACATTTTGTTTTGCAAATCAAAACAAGAAAAAAAGGAACAGCTCAAACAAGGTAAAGAAAAGCATTTCTACGACTGAACCACGACTTCGAGTTGATTAAATCCCATTAACTGCAGAACAGACTCTACATTTGGTCATAGTGGCAATTTGTTTTCTCATCACATTGTGAATCACTTTACATTGTTTTCTAGTAGAAAAGGCAAAAAACTGTACAAAACCCCTAGTGTTAAATACAATGTTTGTACCAATAAAAAAGCCCACAGGTTTGTCTCCAAAATGTAAATTTTCTTTTTAAATTATTCACAAAAAGCAGCCAAAAATCAGAAAGGCAGCTGCTGCTCCACTGTCTCAAATCCATTAAAACCACCACAGAACAATTAAAACAACCAAAGGAAGAAAAGGAAAGAAGAAAAGGAAAGAAACAACCAACATTTGGCATTTTGGTTTTCTTCAGATATTTTTCCACAGGTTTCCCCAAGGTTCCTTACGGAACCAAACGCACACGTACAGAAATGTACGGGCAGCTCCTCCACACACTGCAGGCTATCTGCGCCCCTGGCACACAGCCCTGTGCATTCAGACTGTGGGACTAACAGCAGCCAGCCCCCAACCCTACTTCCCATATAAGTGAGCCTCTACCCTTTTTCATTCAGCCTCACGATTCACTCCCAGGTACATGTATCATATTCAAATTGCTCTCTTTTGTAAGCACATTAAAGACTGTCTACACAAGTCTGGTCAACGCTTAGTGAGAATACAGCATCCTCAACCAACTCAGGAGTAGGACAGAAAACAATCTTTGCATCTTTACATTATCCCAAACACTGGACAAAATGAAGATTTCTATCCCATCAAATTCTACTTGTTTTCTCAGCAAAAACCCTTCTCCTGGAATTCCATTTCACATTATTTCAATTTTAAGAGACCTACACTAGCTTGCTGCTGCTTCTATCTGAAACTTCATCATAGCACACCCTTTTCAGGTGCCTTCATCTAGAAACTACTTCCCAGTTTCTACCTGTGCAGATGGGATGTAGGGCAGGGGAAGCCTGCTACCCAGAGACCAGTAACCTGTTCTAGTTCATCCTGCAAGCCATAAAAACTGCTCAGCTCATTACCCAATTAAAAACTAAACAAAAACTAAAAAAAAAAAATCTCCGCAGAGATTCCCCAGCTAAGGCCCTTGAAAAGAGAGCTGGGGATGGTACCCTGTTCAGGTAACAGCTTCAGAGGCTGTTGTATTGTGCTTGTCATTTGGGAAAAGAGCCAGCAGTTGTAGAACCAGTGTTACAAACGCTTTCTCTGGGAAATTTAAAACACTTTATTTCATGAGCTAACTTAGATGTTTTCAGAATCCTACCATCAAACTCTGACTGATGGTATTAGATTGGGGCTGGACTTCAGAGAAATGTGCCCTGAGTTGTACAAAATGCTCAGTGTTTGAAATGAGCCCTAGCTTAAGACAGCTTTGGAAACAGAAATATTGTTCTGTTTCCTTCCTGCTCCCAGCTATCCTCTTCCACCAAAACTTCCACTAGGGGAACAGTGTAACCAAGCATCCTCAGAGCTTCTGACAGCACTGGAGATGGAGCAAGGTCCAGGTGCTCTGTCAGGCAGACAGTCTAAGTGCACAGGTAGATATGCCCTCGGGTGGCTTCTGATCAGATATTTGTCATACCAAAACCACCAATTTAAAGGATACCTTTGAAACCCACTAAATTGCTCAGTTTTTGCACAAACTATAGAAAACAGAGAGGTGAAGGTGATATATACGAGGGTGTGAAGAAAACAGCAGGAAACATGCACAACATTTCTGGGCACTATCTTAGTTTGAAAGATTAAAACAAAAACATCACATTTTGCTGAGGAGATTGTAGTTACAAAAAAAACCCAAGCATGCCAGAACTTAACAAAATACAACATCAATTTTGATCAAATTTTCACTGCAGACTGGTAATCACACAGGGAAGCAGGGGAAAAACAAAACAAAAAAAAAAATTTAAAAAAAAATCGGTAAATATCAGGGCAAAAATGTAGCTACAATCAGAGAAAAACCTAGTTCAAGTGTTTTCTGTTGATGCCACTTCAAGTCACAAGTTTGAACTCATAAAAACACATGCTGTCTCCTCAAGCACAGAAACCAGATCAGCAAAATGTGACTAGGAAGTCTCCTGAAAGATTGAGTTACACCATATAATTGACTTTTTCTTCGAACTGTGTTTTTAAAACTAAGCACACAGAAAAAACTAAGCCTAGAAAGTGATTTGCTGTATGTTCACAGAAATACAAATATTCTACAAGGTATGCTAGCAAGGCTGCTCTGAAGACAAATTACAAAGAATCAGATTCACAAAATCAAGTGGTTATCTTACGAAGGTCTAGAAAAATAGAAATTCTTTTATATTCAAATGCAAGTTTAAATATTTCCCCTTCAGCAGTCTTTCTAGCAAAACCAATTTGGCAGCACAAAAAAAAAAAAAAAAGAAAAAAAAAGAAAAAAGAAACAAACATAATTAAAATACACATCAGCATCAAAGGTCAACACAAGGTCAAAGGTGAGAGTTCAAGCATCAGAGAAGCTGAAGAGACAAGGATTTGGACGATGTACTTGAACGCCACATCGACATGCTTTAGGCACAACGATGAACAAACGGCAGGAATCTAGAAAAAAAAACAAACCAGAAAGAGGGAGACCACTGAGTTACACAGAGCAGTACATCCAAACACAGAGAGAGAGAACAAGAATGGGCACTGTACAATGAGATCTCCTGGGGAAGGGAGTTGACAGGGAAGGGCAGCACATGCCAACGATGGACAAGTAAAAGTCAAAGTACATGAAGGACACCAAGTAAACATCAAACTGCCAGAAACCAAATGGAAGAAGAGGCCTGGATTTCCCTCTCAGCACCCAGTCTGCAGAGCATTCCACAGCCTAGTGACACACTGGTTAGAATGCATTCACCTTGCCCCGTGCCCAGTGTGTCTACTACTTCTGTTTAGAACAGAGTAAACTCCCTCCCCAGGAGACCGATTCCAAAAAATATGACTCCAGGGCAAACATTTGCCCACAGAGACTGAGACCATGAGAGACAAGACAGAGGACACAAGGGATTCACAGGTGGTTTGACGTTTGAGACTTTTCTTGCACTCTAACATGGGAAGTTCTTAGGCAGTAGTAGCCACGTTCTTTCCTTTAGCTACAGTCTCTTCTCATTCCCTAGGAGCCCATGTAACTGGGGGTGGGTGATTTGGAAAAGGGGAAAAAAAAAAAGATTATACAAGACAAAAAGCCCACACATCAGAGAAGAATTCCTTAAGACTTGACTGCAAGTTAAGACTTGTCCTAGCTGAGCACTTGTCATACCATTAGACCTGCACAGGGATTTTCCATTCCCAACCTTTTATGTAACAGCCCTCAGCTCCCTGGCTTCATGAGGAGGAGATTCTGGGCTCTGAGAAGCTCTACAGTCACTGTTGCCAGTTTGATGAGCAGAAAAAATGTGTTTCCTGAAATTTGCTTGAAGAGTTTATAAAAAAATAATTCTTATATTAAGTGACATAAATACCTCTCTTCCCTCCCCTCAGCTTGTGAGCTGCAAGAGACAAGGAACGTTTTGGGATTAGAGTGGGAGGGAGAAGAGAGAGGAAATGGTTTGTTTTCTTATTCTGCCTCCCTACACCCCCAACTCCCCTTTAGCTTCTGTTTGTGGCCTTAATCTTCAGCACATCTCAAAGCTTCTGGTTACAGACTAGAACAAGGTAAGATTTGCATATTATCTAACATCATTTGAGAATAGCAAGTGTTGCATTCTTGTTCCAAAGCAACAAGAAACACATTGTCTACTAAATCAGCAATGCTCCTCTTATTAGAACTGCTGAGATTAATTTGCTTTTCATGCCTTCCAATAAAGGGAAAGGACTTTAGTACAGAGTTTAAACCAACTCCAGCAAACAGAGCACAATGCAACTCTTGCACTTGTTTCTGTATTTCAAGAAATACTCTAGATAATTTGCAGACAGGTGCAAGATTTCACTCTTAAACCAGAAAAGCAAATTCATCATGAACTGAGGCATGAGAAACAACAAGAAGAATGAAATCAAGTGACATCTTAGCATGCACCACTGATATTCTCTGTGTCATTTGTCTCGGGATTTTCTTGATAAGGTTTTTTCAAATATTTCTCTCAGCTATGTTGAGGGCAAAGACTGAGTTTTATCAAAGCCGTGTGGAAAGACTGGCCTAAAAAACAGAACCATGAGATGCTGGACAAGCTCTTAATGACTTGGAGAAAGTTATTCCAGTTTGTCCTTGTTTTATTCTCACAACAGTGATAATTCTGCCTTCTGTGTTTTATATTTTGTGGCAGGTATGCTAGGGATATCAATTATCTTTAGCTTTAAATGTCTCCAACAAGAAGCTTTCAAAGCATTTTACCTGTTCAGAGTTGCACCCTTCATTTGCAATTTCCTTTATCCAAGTTGTTTTTAGGTATTTCCAAATAAAATAGGAACAACTTCATTC